TGCTGGTGGAGGGCATTCTAAGTGGGTAGGACGGCTTAGACAAAAGCACAAACACAATCAGAAACAAAACTCTGGCACTGACTGTTTGCCCCAGAAACACCCATCTGATCATATTACCCCAAGCCGCTTAGTATACTAAGATGGCAAAAAATTCTGCCCAGAGTGGCCTTAACACCTGGCATCCGTTCTGGCCTGGGATTGAGGGAACAGGGGTAGTGTTCAGTCTTAAGGCTCAGCTTCTCAACTGGAAGATGGAGCTGGGGCTGGAGAAGACCATCACCAAGCTCCTTCCAGCTCTGTCACTCTGGCCCTGAACTTCACAATCCCTCTGGGGATGATTTTCAAAGAGATTCGGTATTGGGTGTGCAGGTGCCCGGCACATTCCCATAGCACACGTGTGTGTTTAAAAGTTTGAGGAAACACCAAGAATGATTATGTTCAAGCTCAGACAGATATTTAAAAACTGAATGGGATGAGAGAGAAATATGTACTTTCATTTAGCAAATATTGATTGTAGGCTCGAATGGTCTCTTCTGGCTTTTTAAACACTGGCTGCTTCTCATCCTTTGTGTCTCAGCCTAAATATCTCTTCTCCAGAGAGTTCACCCCTGTTCACCTCCTACTCCCCCACCCCCACGCACAGTATCCCATTATTGCTTCATTTTAAGATTCAGGAGGAGCAAGACATCTCTGCCATGTCTACCTTGTAGCTTAGTCTGCCTGGCACACTCAGTAAATGCAAGATGAATGAACGAATGCATGCATGCATGGGCTCAGAGTAGGCGCCCATCTCTGTGGATCAGGGGAACCCTCAGTGGCCCGAGCCTGCTGTCAGCAGGAGTTCAGCTGGAGCTCTCTCTCTCTGGGTGTCAGAGGCCAGGCCCTGCGGCTCCTCCTTGATTCTTTCAGCCACAGCTCAAACCTGAAATAAGCACTTGGCTTCTGGTTGGGAGAATTTCAGTCTTGGTAAGTAGGAGGGAGGGATTTCTGGGGGTCCAGGGGTGGGATGGGGCTTTCCTGGGGACTTTGAAGAGTTTGGGGTGGGAGGTCCTTACTCAGTTCTCTGCTCACTGGCTGCAAGGCCTTGGGTGTGTGCCTCAGTTTCCCAATTAGTGAGGCGATGTCTCAAGGGGCCTTAAAGGACTATGAGTTGAGATTTCCGAAAATGAGACTGAGCTGGAGGAAGTGGGGATGCCATTGGCTATAGTTTCAGGGTGGAGGGACCAGGAGGTGTCTGCATTCCCACACTGCAGTGGGAGTTCCCAGAGTCAGGACCAAGTCAGAATTTCCTCTGCAGCTCTAACATTGCCTGGCACTGAGCTGCACTTGAACTCATGAAAAACTACAGCTGAACCTCCCACCAACCCCATAGTGCAGACTGGTTAGAATGTATCATGCCCACAGATGAGGAAACTGAGGCTTAGAGAGAGAAGTGACCTGCCTCGTATGACTCCAGAGGCCCTGTGTTTAATCTGAACACTCTTTGACCCCTCTGGAAGGCAGTAATGAGGTTTGCTGAATTGGCTGGAGTTCACAGGCTCCTGGAACCCAGAGATCATCAAAGGGGCCTAGTCTGCTCTATTGCATGGGGGATCTCCACGGGTAACAGGGCCTGGTGGGCCGCACCCAATTCAGGCCCCACGGCGCAGGTGGAGCCATGCTGCGGATCCTGTGTCTGGTGCTCTGCGGCCTGCTGACCCACACACGAGCTGACCCTGGGGCACTGCTGCGGTTGGGCATGGACATCATGAACCACGGTGAGCTGACTGGCCTGAATGTGAGGCAGGGTGGCTAGACAGGGGGTAGGTGGTAGATACGTAGTGACTGCTTATTTTTGCATGGCCTTGAGCATTCCGCGATTCTCATAATACAATGTTATTATTATTCCTGAGAAAATGGGGTGACTTGTCCAAGTCCCCCCTCAAGTTGGAGGCACAGCTGGAAATCTTGCTTCATTGTAGTCTCTCCTTGGCCCTGGAAGCAGGGGTTGGTGGCCATGAGTGGGCTGTAGGGGTGACAGACAGAAGCCAAATCCCAGCTCAGCCAATAATTTTCTGTGTGACCTCAGGAAATTCACTTACCCTCTCTGTGTTGCTGTTTCGTCATCTGTAAATATAAAATGTAAAGAAATGCTAAATAGGGTGACTAGTCTTTACCTGGCAGGATCAAATGAAATATGAGATTAAAATTGCCTGGGGGGGACTTGATTTTAAAATTTATTTTTCACCTTTGAGCTCAAGAGTTCAAGAAAAATGAAGTCACATCCAGGTGCAAAGGACTAATGACAGTTCTATCAGCTCAGCATTTGTCTCTTTTCTGGGAATTAACCCATGACCATTATGGAGGCATTTCTGGCAGTGTCATTCAGGGTTGGGGCCTCCAGGCCAGAGGAATCTGAATATCTTGGTTTCAGGCACAGAATCTGCATTTTAACAGGATTCCAGATGAGTTTCCTAATCATCCAGGTGTGAGAGTGGCTTGGAGTTCAAGGCCTCCATGATGTGACCCCTGCAAACTGCTCCAGTTTTTCTCTCATATTTCTCCCCCCTCAAGCCACACTGCATTTCTCACATTCCCCTCATCATGCCACCTTCTTCCCCCTTTCCCACCTTTGCACTTGTTGTACCCTCTGCCCAGAGTAGCCCCCTTTATCCTTTTTCTTCCTGGTGAAAATTCCTATTCCTCCCTAAAGGACCAACTAACATGTCACCTCCTCCTGGAAGCCTTCCCCAGCTCTTTTTTTTTCCTGGCTCAAACCCTTTATGTGGTTCCTCCAGCTGCCTGAGCTTATTATGGCTCTTGTCACTCATTACTGTCATTGTTCCTGACTGTCTCCCCTATAAAGCTGGAAGAGGGCAGAAGCTGGGCAAGACTCATCTCTAGGTTCCTGGATCACCCAGCTCAGGGTAGGGCACAGGGGCATGTAGTGGTGCCATTTAGGGGCATGAGAGATTGGTCCAGGGCAGGGAAGCAGTGAGGAGCCCAGCTGAGTGTCTCTCTGGACCCTGCTCCTTTCCAGAGGTCCAGAGTGCCATGGATGAGAGTCATATCCTGGAGAAGATGGCAGCCGAGGCGGGCAAGAAACGACCAGGAGTGAAACCTATTAAGGGCATCACAGAGTGAGCAGGGGAGGGGCTTCAGGGGAGTGATGGTTATCATAGAGGGTGGTGGGGAGTGCTGTGCCTGCACCTCACAAGTCAGGTGGGAATACAGGGTATAGGGCCTCTTTCCTGCCTTATTGCTGGCTTGTTCTGTGATCCTGGGCAGGTCACTGCTCCTGCCTGGGCTTCAGTCTCCTCAGTCACCACTGGGGACAACTCCTGCCTGGTTGTGAGCAAGGATATTGGGAGGAAGAAGTGGGGTTGAAAAGTCCAACTTCGACTCCTGCAGGCAGCAGGGGTCACAGAATATACATGCAACTAAATGAAAAAATCCTTAAAAGCCAGAGCTAGAAAGGAATCAACAATCATCTAACAACAGAGGCAAATTAGTTCAATGGCAAGTGGTCTAAGGGGTTATTAATTAATAGGGGCTGCCTGGAATGATGTACTGGGGAGGCACTCTCTGGACCGAGCAGGAAATAGGACTGTGATCAATTAGCAATGTCTGCCAAGAGCTCAGGATTAGCAGGTTAAGGTAGATGTGCCACATCTCCGTTATCCTGGATCTTAGACTGTTGGTTCTCAGCCAGGGGTGATTTTGCCTCTAAGAGACATTTGGCAATGTCTGGAAACATTTTTGGTTGTCATGCTCTGCATCTGGTGCCTCTAAGAGGGTAGAAGCCAGGGATGCTGCTGAACATCCTACAGGATGACTAGGACAGCCCCCCACAACAAAAAGTTATCCTATTCAAAATGTCAATAGTTCCACTATTGGGAAACACTGATCATAGCAAATCTCCCCATTTTGCCAATGGGGAAACTGAGGCCCACAGGGTAGGGTGCAGGCCAAGGTCACATAGTCAGCCAAGTGTCCCAACTTACACATGATGAGTGTTTTCTGTACACATATTGGGTTCATGTCCAGCCTTTTGTTTGTGTTTCATGATGGTCCCACAAAGCAAGTTTATCCTGGTGGGATAGAGAATTTACCCAAGCCTCCCAAGCAAGGTGGTAGAAGAGCAGGTTGAGGGCCTGGTGAGGTCTCACCTGCCAGGTTCTCATTGCTGTGGATGTCTGTCCCCTCCCAGTATGAAGGTGAAGGATGTGAAGCTTCCTGTCATCACACTGAGCTTCACGCCTGGGGTGGGCATCTTCCAGTGTGTATCCACCGGCATGACCATCACTGGCAAGAGGTGAGTATGGCAGATTAGGAGAGGAGGGAGGGAGAACGGCTTCCTTGTCTCACCCTTACGTGCACATTTATTGAGCACTTCGTACCACCTGGATGCTGTGGTCTGAGATGATGCAAACTGGATTCCTACCTTTGATGGGAGCTAGACGTGAGCACAGACAACCACAGACTGAATGGTTAGCCTAGGACAGGAAGCTTTGGCAGTATGAGAGGATCAGAAACAATAACAGCTGAGCAGGGTTTTGAAGGATGTATAGGAGTTCACCAAAGTAAGAGGGAGAGAAAAGACTGGTTTTGTAACTTTGGACAGGTCCTATCCCCTTTTCTGTCTTATGGGGGTGATCCCCCACACTTTTACCCTCCTAGAGCTGCTGAGAATGTGGGCAGAGAGGAGACAAGGTCAGTGGCCACAGTGGCAGAGATGCCCATGATGTCCACGTGCCCTCTCCTCTAGCTTCATAGGTAAGAACATGGAGATCACTGTGGTCCTGAACATCACAGCCACCAACCGGCTTCTGCAGGATGAAGAGACGGGCCTCCCCGTGTTCAAGAGTGAGGGCTGTGAGGTCATCCTGGGCAGCGTAAAGACTAACCTTCCTAGCAAGTGAGTGGCTCTCTGGCTGGGGAGGAAGGCTGGGTCCACATTGTCACCCTGGCCCAGTGTCCCACCTCCTGAGCCATTGCACTTCCTTGTCCATGGCCCTGTTTGTCCTGTGCCTAACCTCCTGCCATCTGTGCCCCTGTCCCCCATCCTCTGCATCCAGCATGATGCCTAATGTTATCAACAAGTTCCTGGACAGCACCCTGCACAAAATTCTCCCTGGCCTGGTGAGTGCCTAGAGCAAGCCTCTACCCCTTGTCTGTGTGAGTGCTAAGAGCAAGGGCTGGCAGGTGCCTTTTATCTTAGGTGCTGACCCTGATTGATAGTAGCTGATGAGGACATGGCAGCCTGCACATCACAGCTTGCCAACCCTGCCCAGATTTTCAGTCACTGTGGAATAAGTCTTCACTGATGTTGTAGGCGGTGGTCAAAAGATCTGAATTCTAGTCCATGCTCTGCCATTGACTTTCTGTATGACTATAGCCTCGGTTGACCCTCTAGTCCCTGTCCCTCCAGGGCTCTTGGGACTCCCCATGAAGTACCATCCAGCTGTGAGGAGTGAGGTCATCATGCTGGGGCCCCCTCAGTCCAGCGCCTTCTCTGCTTCCAGATGTGTCCAGCCATTGATGCAGTCTTGGTGTATGTGAACAAGAAGTGGGCCAACCTGAATGGTGAGTAGTACTAGCCATGCCTCGCTCACACATGGGGATATTAGGATGGGTGGACTTTGATACCCTACTCTTGATTCAAGTGCCTGCTCCCAGCCCAGGCTTGGTACTAGAGGAGGTCTGAGGTCATGGTGTCTGTCCATCCCCTCACTGTCCAGATGGGAAGCCCAAAGCCCTGAGAGACTCTGGGGTCCTTGCCTCTCAGCCCCTTCATCCATTATTCTATCCATCATGCCCCCAGACTCCAAGGACAGCCCCATTGTGGGCTCATCCATGCACCTTGCACCCCAAATAGTAATCCCAACGATGATGATACCTCTTCCCTTTGCCAAGAGCATCTGCAGCCTCCATCATCTTGGGGTCCACAAGGCTCCTGAGTATGGGAGAGAGGAAAGCCCAATGGCTACAAATGAAGAATATAGGTTCGTGTGCCCAGCAGTGTGGCCTGGGACAAGTCCCTTCACTCCTCCGAGTCTCAGTTTGCTCATCTGTAAAACAGAACTGATAATCCTGACACTGCCAGTGTGTGGTGAGAACTGAGTTGTGACATCCCTTGGTGAACTCTCAAGCTTTGTGCCTGCAGAGTGATGGGAGGAGGCATGATTTTCCAGGTCAGGCACCATTGCCTCCATTCTACAGATGAAATTACTGAAGCCCAGAGATGCTAAGTAATTTGCCTTGGGTCAAACAGAGGGCCAATGTTCCTGGCACCCAGGCCAGGGTCAGGTAGAAGCTAGCTGGTGCCAGGTTCTCTGGGTTGCCCCAGGTTTGGTACCTCTCTGAGTGGAACCTCTCTCTGCACAGATGCCATGCCTATAGGCCAGATGGGCACTGTTAAGTATGTCCTGACATCCATACCAAATACCACGGCCAACTACATCCAAGTGGATTTCAGTGTAAGCACCAGGGGGTGGTCACCAGGGGCCTAAAGCCTCAGGGTCTCTGGCCTGAGTGGTGGAGGCTGTCTAGGGCTATGGATTGGGTGGGGGAGCAGGGCGGGGGGTGGGGCTCAAACCCTTGCAGACTAGGCCCACATTGAGAGTTTTCCCCGACATTGGGGCCCTCTCCTTTCTGCACCCAACTTGAACTCTGAGTCTCTGAGCTGATTTCCAGGACTGCCAACCCTCAAGGCTGTTTGCTTCTCCCAATAAGTGGCTCACCCAGTTATACCCTACCATTGTACAAATGGGAATACTGAGGCCTGGAGGAGGTAAGGCTTGGCTAGGGTCCCACTGTGAGCTGGTGGCAGAGTTGAGTCCTCACCCAGGTCTCCAGAGCCCCAGGTGACTAGGTAAGATGCATCTTCCAGGAATGGGAAGAAAAATCTCATGAAGTTATCTCCATGCAAAGCCTTCCTACAGTATGGTTCTTACAGGCCCCATATTTTTTTCTACTTACTTGAGAAAGAGAAAACACATTCTGTATAAATGTGGGCTCAACCAGACAGAGTCAGATTAACTGAGGTTACTTAAGCAGTCGTAGGAGGAACCATCAGTGGTTTAGTGACTGATTTCCTTATCTTCTTGGGCCTCAGTCTACCCATTTGCACCTTGGGAGCATTGAGCCACTGTAGCCTGCTCTGGCTCTAACATCTGATGACTTGCTGTCTTAGGGCTGGTTTGAGTGCCATTAGTTCGGAAGACTGAGACTCATTCCCCAGCCACTGTCTTTCATGGCCAAGGCCGAGTGTCTCTCTTCTACTGTCCCACAGCCTGTGGTGCAGCAGCCAAAGGGCAATACCATCAAGCTTGCTGATACCGGGGAGGCCCACGAGTTCCCCGACGACTATGCTGAAGGCTCCTCACAGCTGCTGCTCTCAGCCGCCTTCCTCACAGCAGAGCTTGCCCTTTTGCAGAAGTCATTTGATGTGAACATCCAGGATAAGATGGTGAGCTGTCCAGGGCCATCCCCCCGTCATCTGCCTCTGCCCCCTTTAATAACAGTCCCTGCCTGGTGTGTCCATTCTGAGAATTATCCTGGGGTTGTGGGCAACACTAGAACTGGAAGATGCTGAGATTGATATATATTTCTATTATTAGTTTACCTCACCATCTACCATCTCTCTGTTCTTGTAACCACCAGCTCAACCATCTATTCACTTGTCCATACAACCAGCTATTTATTCATCTACCTACAACTTTCATGCATTTCATGCATTGGTCATCCATTTACCTTCCTTTTATCCAATCATCACACACCCATCCTTCTACCTCACTTCCATGTATTCATGCCTTAAGCTCTATCCTTCCAGCTAGCATCCATCCATTCATTCATATCATCCACACAACATCTAGATCATGACCTGATACTACTGAATGAGTGAATCTATGTATCTTCCATTTATCACCCAAACACCCATGTACCTACCTAACTCTCCATTATCCATCCTTTTACTCTTCTACTCATCCATCCTACTATCTATCCAATCCATCAATCCATCCATCCATCCATCCATCCCCACACAACATCTAGATCATGACCTGATACTACTGAATGAGTGAATCTATGTATCTTCCATTTATCACCCAAACACCCATGTACCTACCTAACTCTCCATTATCCATCCTTCTACTCTTCTACTCATCCATCCTACTATCTATGCAATCCATCCATCCATCCATCCAGCCAGCCAGCCAGCCAGCCACATTGATCCATTCATTCATTCGTCCATTCACCCACTATCCATCCATGTACCTTCCCATCCATCCACTGATCCATTCATTCATCCTCCCGTCCATGCACCCACTATCCATCCATGTACCTTCCCATCCATCCTCACACCCATTAATCCATCCATCATCCATTGTTTCACCCATTTATCATATAATTCTACCATCTTCCCATTGACCTATCATTTCATGTATCATTCTTTTCATTATTACCTACCCATCCACCTGCTAATCTATCATTCATTTTCCTACATAAACACTCATCCCAGCCACCCAGCTACCCAGCCACTTTCCCACTCATCTGTTTATCCATTCCCCCATCCATCTATCTATCCATGAATTCCACTTACCCCCCTCACCCATTACACCCACTCATTCCCATCTATCTCCCCACTTTTCATCCAAAAACATTTTCTCAGCATTTGACCTTGTACTAGGAGCTATGGGCATTGGAATGTGTGAGCCACACTCTGGGCTACCCAGAAGTTTATTATTTACTTAATCACAGAGTGACAGTGTTTTGATGAAGAGAACCTCAGAAGGCACACCTTATCTCCATAAGGTGATGTTAGGAGGGGTCAGGGAAGGCTTCAGTAATCCTAACCTTGACTTTCATTTTGTAGATTGGTGAGCTGCCCCCACAAACCACTAATACATTGGCAGGCTTCATCCCTAAAGTGAGTGCCCTGACTACCCATGATTGCTATGTCCTGCTCTGCCCTGTTTTCCAGTCAAAGGATAAGGGACTTGGGAGGCAGCTTTTCAATGCCACATCTCCTTTGTCCAATGTAGAATCATCCCACATTCTCCATGAAGTACCCTTTGGGTCCAGCATAGAAACAGCTCAGCATTTGTGCATTGTAATTTTTATGTCCAATACAGAAATAGTCAGATTGTCTGTTTTGTTCCTTTTATTTCCTGATAGACATATCTCAGCCTTTGCATGTTGTACTTCTTGTGCCCAAGGTAGAATCACCTATTTCATGATGGACTTTTGGTTTCGACTGAAGCCACCAGTCTGAGGGAGTTTCCTGGTTTCTGTAGGTTGCTGAGGCCTATCCCAAGTCAAAGCCCTTGATGACCCAGATCAGGATAAACAAGCCCTCCAAGGTGACCATGAAGGCAGGCAAGAGCCTACTGCACTTCCATGGCACGCTGGAGATGTTTGCTGCTCAGCGGCGGGGCAAGGCTCCTGTGTCTCTCTTTCTCTTGGAAGCTGTGAGTAGAATTTGTTCTCCATTTAGGCCTAACCTCTTGAAAAGTGGGATTTTAGTTGGTAGTCAAGTAATGGATTGAAGGGTTCTTAGTTAATCTCAATTGTCCTAACCTCCCAGACCTTGTCACCTGATGTCTGATCCTTAGCTCTGACATTGAACCTTTGAATGGCTAGAAAGATCAACAAACTGAGGGTCAATAGTTTAGTCCTTCCTTTTCCTAACCTCCCTCCTTTGCTCCCTCTCTCCTTCCCTCCCACCCTCAAACATTCATCAGCATCTATAAGGACAGCAAAGGGCTTAACCAGGGGACTATGGAAACCTAGAGAGATCCAAAGTCAGTTTGAAGAAATCAAAGAGGACTTCTCTGAGGAGGTGATGCCTCCTCTTCCAGGGAAGGGTTGATGTTGGGGAGGCTAGTGATGGAGAGTACTCCAGGCAGAGGTTACAGGGTGTGCAAAGGCCGGGAGCAATAGCATGGTGTGTGCAGAAATCTATAGACCTGCCAGGTATTTTGGAGGGTGCCGTCCTGGGCCAGGTACAGGGATGGATGAAGAGCCTGGGCTGGGGGCATGAGGAGACTGCTAGGTTCAGTTTCTGAAGGTATGATGGACAGAGAGGAGACCTCTGTTGTCTTGGCAGTGGTGATGGTACTGGGAAGATGGTAAAGACTCTGGTTTTACCAGCCCTGATTGGGGGTGCCTATTGCCTTCTCCCTACTTCCCTCATGCCAGCACTTCAACCTGAAAATTCAGTACTCAGTGCGTGAGGACCGGCTGCAGATAACTACCTCTCTGAACAGGTAGGAGTCTGCTGCCCACACTGGCATCCCTGCACCCCTGCATAGACATTACCAGTACCATTTGTTCTCCTGCTCCAAGGTTTCTCCCTGATCCATCCAACACAGTCTACACTGCTAGGTTGCTCTGATTACTATTCCTGCTCTAGAATCCTCAACAGATTCCATTGTCTGCATGGAATTTTCTCACATCTTAGCCTAGCATTGAAGTCCCTTTTCAAATTCTCCCACACTGCTCCTACTATTCCACTAGAGTCTTGCACAGTGAGTCTAATCGTGTGCCCATGAGCCTTTTTTCATTTAATAGGCTTTTGCCCATGCTGTCCAAATGCCACCTATCAGTCAGCACCCAGCTCAGATGATATCCCCTTCAGGCAGCTTTCCCTTATGCTAATAACAGCTAACATTTATAGAGCTCTGCCTGTATGCGAGACGCTGGCTACCTGTATTATATTCATTATCCCACTTCAACAACCTAGCTTTACTTCAGTTACTCATTTTTGCATTTGCCTTAATCTTTGATCTGATTTGTATTAGGCCAGGATCCTTTCAGTTGCAAGAGATGGTTTCAACTTTAACTGACTTAAGCCCCAAAGGAAATCTTTTGGCTCATATAATTAAAATTGTAGAAGCAGACTTGCTTTCAGGCATGGCTAGACCTAGGTACACAAATAAAGTCCTCAAGAATCTGTCTCCATCCTGCCTTGGCTCTTGCTGTCCACTTTGTTGGCTAGATTCTCAAGCAGCCTCTTCCCTGGTGGTGTCAAAGTGACCCCAACAACAAGAGAGGCCTTTTGTCCAATGGTTCTAATAAAATTACCAAGGCTGCTTCTCATTGGTCTACCACAGATCATATGACCAACCCTAAGTTAATCACAATCTCTTAAGAGATAGAATGCTCTGATTGGTCAGGCCTGGGTCATGTGCTCACCCTGGGGGCTCTGGGTTCATCTGAATGCCTTGGAATGAGAGCAGAAAATGGAGGGTCCATTATTGGAATAAAAATAGATGTTGGGAAGATAAAGCCACCAGATGACCATCACATGGCCTATTCTGGTGCCAACATGGATTAGTGCCTACTGGAGACTGTGCAGGGAATTGGGCTGGATGAGGGATCCTAACTCTGTCCTGCAAGAATCTGGGACTAACTTTTTGGGCTACAAATATCTGCATACCTGGCCTTGGACAGGAGCAATATACTGGGGGTCCCAGAGGGAAGAGTCTGGACCAGTAGAGGAGGCAGTGGTTTGAGCTGTGGGGAACAGAATGGGCTATAATGAAAGATGGTGAGTGCCCCATCAAAGGTAGCATGCAAGCAGAAACTTATGAATACCTGTTTAGAAAGCATCGAGGAGGGGTTGGGGTGTTTGAGATCCTCTTTCTCCAGGGCCAGGAGCAGTGGCTCTGACCGCCCTCATCCTTTTTTTTGTCTCCTCCTCTCACAGATTACTGAGCCTGTCCCGGAAGTCCTCATCGATTGGTGCCTTTGATGTAAGTGCTTCTGTCTGGTCTGGTAAGATTGGACCTATTCGCTCTTGGGACTGCTGGAAAAAAACCCTGAAATGGAGGTAGAGTAAATAGAGCAGGTCATTGTGGGATCTGAGGCTCTTGACTTGCTATGCGACCTTAGGAAAGTCACTTAGCCTCTCTGAGTCCCTGTTTCCTTTTCTGGATAGAATCTAGACATCTCCTTGGATTGACTTTCAAACATTGTCTTGTATAGCAGCAGCCTGAGCTGGCTTGGTTGACCCAGCTGTCATTTTTATTAGTCTCTGTAGCCTCAGAGCCCAATACAGAACCTGATGCAATAGGTGTTAACAACGACAACAACAACAACAACAACAACAACAACAACAACAGCAACCACACTTACTGAGCACTTACTCTGTGTTATGTGCTTTAGTCAAACTCATTGAACCCTCACAGAAACCCTGTGAGTAGGTGCTGTTATATTCCATTTTCACAGATGGGAAAACTGAGGTACAGAGAGGTAATGAATTAAAGCCACTGAGTTTTCTGTAGGAGCAGCAGTGGGTTCCACAAACCACCCAGTATCTCCTCAATTCCTCCATGCCTGTGCCATGACCCAAGACCCACATGTCACCCAAACAGGGACTAAGCAGAGGTGAAGAGCATTAATCTACAGTCAGACAGGGTTAAGCCTCGTTTTTATGCTAGCTGAATGATTTGATATCTCTAATATTTATTCTTGTGGTCCCAAGATTCATTTAGAGTGAAGGCTAAAAAAAATCTATTGAATTGAATTGAATGATGGGATGTGGATATTTTCTCTCTTTCTCTCTTCCTGCAGGAGAAGGAACTGACTGGCTTTATCACTGATTTTCTCCAAGAAGCCTACATCCCAGCTGTCAATGGTAACGTTGACAAAAAGGTTTTGATTTTGCTAGTGCCAGGATGTGCTCTAAACAGGAAGGGATGCCACTTGGGCGGTCTCAAACCTTCACTAACCCCAGTAGGGAGAAGCTGAAAGGGAGTGAATGGTTATTGACGAATCCTTGAGATTAATGTAGTCTTAATGTTACCTCTCTGAGGATAAAGGCCCCTGCCACAATTTGGGACCCTTGATCCCACACCATGAGTCATATCTTGACCCAGACCTGGGATATATATACATGGTGATTTGGGCTATGCTCTCTATGCCTGGGCAGCTGGCAGACATCATGAATCAATCACTGCACTTTTCCCCACTGTTCTGCTTCAGGCAGCCACTCCTTAATCAATTGCAGAGCAGGCAGACTAAAATGACTCTTACTGTATTTCCCAGATGTGCTCCAAGTTGGGCTCCCGCTTCCAGACTTTCTGGACATGAATTATAACCTGGCAGAGCTGAACATAGTAGAGGTGAGGAAAGGAGCTGGGAAAGGCCATGTCAGTCATCACTTTTGGCCAATGAGTGATGAGCAAAAGCCTGCCTCTCTCAGCCTGAAGGGAGTAGGGCTGAGGAGGGCACTGGCCATCAGTACAATCCTGCCAATCCCTTGAGCAATATCCCACCCCTCAAAACCAATACTCCTTCTTCTTGGCCAGGGGCTCCCCAGAGGGAAACATGAATTCTGCTACTCTTTTTCTCTGCCACCTTGGACAAATTACTTTATCTTTCTCTATGCCTCTATTTTTCTATGCTGAAAATGGGGATGATACTATGGGTATCCATCTCAGAGAGCTGTTGTGATGATTTATTGAGATAATTTACTTAAATGCATTTAGTTAGTGCTCAGTAAATATTAGCTTTACATTGCATGCCAAGGCTTGTGCTAGAGTATTAAATGTGCATTTTGCTCATTCGATCTCTCTACTCTGGGAGGTAGAGGTAGTGCTTGTTTCCACTTGATTGTTGAGAAAATTGAGGCTCAGCAAGGTGAAGGGTCACCGGTGAGTCTAGTTCATTCTCTGTTCTTAAATACTATGCTGCCTTCCATTTCTGGCCACAACCCTGGTTCATCCCATCCTGTGCCTGAGTGGCTCCCCCACTTACATCTGGTCCTTCGCCTCCTGCCAGAATGCCCTGGTGCTGGACTTGAAGCTGGGCTGACCAGGGCAGGATTTGCCTGCCAGCTGCCTGCATGCTGCCAGCTGGCTGCACCCCATGGAAGAGCCTCTGACTGGAGCTGGGTGGACTGGGCCCCCTAACACCGCTGGCTGATTCCTTTGACAAGGAGTGAGCAGGGCAAGCCTGGGCTGGGGTCTTGGCAATAAAAAGGACAAAGGCCCCCACAAACAACTAATGTTTCGACCTCATTATTTGTAGTAAATTAATGTGTGGCTTTTTTTCCCTTTCGGTGGGTTTTGGGGTCTAAGATCAGCTTGGGGTCAGAGAAAAGCTGGTCACAGCCTTGGGGGCAAGCTTGAGCATATATTGAGTACCTGCTGAATGCTATGCTCGGGGCTTGACTTGTACCAGCTCATTTAATACACACAATAATCCTGTGTGGGGAGGGCAACCTTGCCATTCCCACTTTATAGTTGGGGAAATTAAGGCACAACAAGGTCAACTCCCAGTTTAGCAAGTGGCAAAACTCTTCTCACCCCACCTTAGCTGCTTGCCCCCAAATCTTGATAACTTAAGGATGGCCCTATTCATAGAGAGATTGTAGAAAGCCCAGTGTGCTCCCAGGAGTCCTTCCTGTGTCACCTCCTTTAATCCTCACAACAGTTGAGGGAGATGAGGACTGTCCCCAATTCACAGATGCAGAGACTGAGGCTCAGGGAAGTGGGACAACTGGCCCAAGACCACCTGGTAAGTCAGGAGGCAGAGATGGGTTTGGAATTCTGGAGCCAGCCTGCCTTCGTCCCAATCCTAGCTCTGCTGCCTCCCTGGTGCATGCCCTGGGTGAATCGCTTCACTCTCTGAGCCTCAGTTTACTCACCTGTAAAATGAGAATGATAATAGTACCAAAATCTGCAGGGTTGTCACGAGGCACAATGCCCAGCACACAGTAAATGCTCAATAAATATTAGCCACAGGCATGTGCGCGTTGGAGTCGGGAGTAGGAAGTTAACTGTGCAACACCATGTGCCAGCATGTGCACTTGTGAGCAGCTATCAGAGTATAAACAGCCTGTGAATCAGGGCAACCTGGATGTCTGTGCAGACATGCTGTCCAATTGTGGAGGTTCATGTGTGAAAAGATCTCTAGTGTCCATTCATGTTTCCGGTGTCTGTGTGCTCCCACGTTCACTCATACGTCATCTGAGCTGAGGATGTTTCCATGTCTCAGAGATGACGTTCATGTAAGGATCAGCTCTCAAAATTTGTCACATCTGCCCCATCTCCTCTCCTGGTGTCGATACTGATACTATTCTTTAAATTGACTCCTTTTACAAGTAAATGTATGTTTATACATTTAACTATAATATAGTTAAAATACATTTTAAAGTAAGTGTATTCTACACAGTCCTGAAAATCAGTATCATTTGCTAAAATGTAATAATAATAATAATAATAATAATAATAATAATAATAACTTTGAAAAAGAAATGTACATCAGAGGCCTCTATGATCAGTTGGTACTCCAGCCCTGGAAATTATTGGAGAGGCAGCCATATGTTAGGGATCCATGTCTGGGCATATACAGGTGTCTGTGGGTGGTATGGTGTGGCCAGAGGCCTGGTCAGGAGGCCAGTGCTCCCAGAGCCCACGGTGCCCTGGCAGGTCGGCACTATCACAGCCTGGCTCAAGCCTATGCTGCAGAGGAAGGAGGACCTGCCCTTGCCTTGGCCCGGATGCCAGGACCATCCCCTTGTCCCTCACTGTTGGGCCTAATTCCATCACCCATCATTTTCCTGGCTCTGGAACAATGGCAGCTTTGAGACAAGCCTGGCAAATACAGACGCCTAGGTAATCCATGGGTGGTTGATGCCCAATCCAGGCACGCCAGAGCCACCCACGTCTCTCCCTCTATCCAGCCCGTGGATGTTCACACAGCACACTCATGGCCACCTAAAGCCCCTTTAACACCCTCCCCAGGCCCAGTGCACGGGTGGCGAAACCAAGGCAAAAAGCTATAAGAGTCAGGAGTCCAGGGTTCTCACCTTGGTGCAACCAGGGACACATTGTGTGGCCTTGGACAGAACATAGTTCCTCTCTGAACTTCAGTTTTCCCATCTGTAAAAATGAGAGTCAATTACCACAGATTTACCCTGGGTGGAACATGGGGGCTGGGCTGGCAAGGGAAGCCCTGCACTGTGACTCCACCCCCTGGGGAGGCAATCATGATGGTTCTGTGCCTGTGGGCACTGCTCATCTTCCAAGATTCTCCCAAGCCTAGATGAAGAAGTGGCAGCTCTGAGAGATGAAGTGACCTGCCCAAGGACACACACCTATGTGGAGCTAGGACTTGAACCTTGTCTGACTGAGTCCAAGTCTCCTCCTTGCTCCTTCACACCACACTCAGCAGAAAAAGAAACTGAGAGCCAGACAAGTATATGACTGACTCAAGGTCACAGAGCAAAGAAGGAGCAGAGCCAAGTCTTTGATCCTGGGCCCACAGCTATCGACCCCCAGGGGCCTGCCAAGCAGCCCACGCCTGGAGAGATGAAGATGGCACAATGTTCCCAGCACCTGTGTCCACACCAGCCACCAGCCACTAGCCACCCTACTTCTCCCTTCCCAGCTCAGGTACCTCTGGAAAGGTCTCCCAGGGATCTCTGAATTTCTCTAGTACTCTTGGCACCCCTCCTTCGATGCCTGAAAGTCCATTTCCAGGATACCTGTCCTCATAGCCAGACCAGTCAGGTGAGGGTAGGCATCTTTCATATCAGTCCATTTTGCAGATGGGAAAACTGCAGCTCTGTGAGGTAAGTCACTCAATAGTGAGTAACAGAGTTGGGATTTAAACCTGGGAATTCCAGCTCTATAGCCTTCGTTCTCAGAGCTAACGCCCAGAGATAGTTCTCCTCATCAAGAACCTCCCCTGCTCTCATCCCTTCCTTGGCTCCCCAACATTGTCACCAGGAATCTCAAAAGGGCTGCACATCAGTTGTCCAGGAGGCTAGAGCAGCTAACTAGGGCAGTTCCCAGGCCCTCTATCCTTGACCTGTTGAGTCAGGGATGCAAAGATGCATTTTTTTTATGAATCCTTTCCCATGAGAAGGCCTTATCCTTGACTTAACTTCAGTGTCTGAGGGGGCTTGCAGGTGCCTGGGGAGCTGGTGAGACTCAGAGTTCCCTCTGGGGTGGGGTCTGGAAGGAATTGGGGAAGATAAAGCAGGTCAGAAACTAGGTAGCATCTTCCTCCCTTCCCAGAGGTTAGGCTGGGCAGTGGTTAAGATGACGAATGTTAGAGTCAGATGGCCTGGCTGGACCCCTGTGTGACCTTAGACCAGTGGCTTCCCCTTGCAGAGTTGTGGCTCCCCAAGCATAAGATGAGGACATAATGACAGTGCTAACTTCATGGGCCTTTGTGGTGACTATACAGATTCACACGTGTCAGTGCCTTATAGGCAGTAAGTGCTCAATAAATACTAAGTGCTAATTTTCCTTCCTCCTCCCTCAAACAAACGCCTTAAAAATATTGGTGATACCCAGTGCTGGCAAGGATGTGGAGCAGCAGTGACTCTCCAGCCCACTGGCACCGTCCCAAAGGCAGAGCCACTTTAGAGAGCCCCAGCAGTATCTGGGAACGTTGAGCCTGTGTACACACTACTATGATCCAGCACCCCTGCTTCTGGCTAGTTACCTCAGAGAAATGGAAAACAAAAACGTTTGTCCATAGAAAAACTCGACAAGAATATTCATAGCAGCTTTATTCATCATAGCCAACAACTGGAAAGCTCAGGTGCCTCTAGACAGGAGCACGGATAACAAACTGTGGTGTGCTTACGTAATGGGGTGGTAAACAGCAAAGAACAAATCATTGCCTCCCACGTGTGAGTGAATTTCGTAGACACTGAGTGTGAGGGAAGCTGCACACAGAACACCACACATGTGCCATTCCATTCCACTCAAGAACATACCAGGCTCATCTACTGTGTGAGAGGTCAGGACGATGGTTACTCTTGGGGGGCAATGACTTGGAGGGGACACCAGGGGGCTTCTGGAGTACTGGGTTTGTGAAAGTACATCGAGCTGTACACTTGTGATCTGGTCTTCTCTGTATGTGCTTTACATTTCAATAAAAAGTTTATTTTAAAAAAAAGTATGGTGTGGTCCAAGAACCTGACTCAGTTTCTAAAGCCATCAAGATGGACGTTGCATTGTTAGGGATTCTGAGGTGATGAGGTAAGCGAGGCAAATACCGTCCTTCCTTCCCATCTCATCAGGCAAGGGCTAAGGGTCACATGCAGGAGACAGACCCACAAAGAGACAGAAACACGGTTCTAGGCCGGCATGTCACAGACTCTGGGAGAGGAAATCCGAGGGAGTGGTGAGATCGCAGCCAGTTTGGGGGTCTGGAGGGCTTCTTAGAGGAGGGGATGCATGAGCCAGTACCTGTAGAAGAATTGTAGATAAAAGCCAAAGTCTGTAAGTCTGTATAGTAACCTGCAGGGCCCATTGATTCCTCGGCCCATGTCTCCCACTGCCCTCCACCACATGGGCCTCCCTGGGGTTCCTGGACACGTCACCTCAAGGCCTTTGCACTTCCCTCTGCCTGGCCTTACTCTTCCCCCCAATATCCACCTGGTCCACTCCCTCTCCTCCTGCTCCAATGAGGCCTCTGCTGACCACCATGTTAAAAACTGCACCCCCCAGCACACTCATTTATTTCTGTCATCAGCCTCTGACGTACTGTATCATGTGTTTATCTGTTCCTCCTAGAGCTGTGCTGTCTAATACGATGGCCAAAAGCCATCTGAGGTGATGAGTGCTTGAAATGTGACGAGTCCAAATTTGCTGTCCTGTCAGTGGATTTCAGACTTAGCATGAGGACAAAAATACAGAGTATTTCATTAATAATTTTATGTTGGTTAAATGTTAAATGATAATATTTTGGATATATTGGCTTAAATAAATTATACTATTAAAATTAATTCACTTGTTTCTTTTTACAATGAAAGAAGGCGACTATTAGAAAAATTTTTAATTGCATCATATTTTTACTGGTCATCTCCTTCAGGGCAGGGGATTTGTCTCTTCTGTTTACAGCTGTGCCCTTAGCACTTAGCAAACAGTAGGTGCTCTACAAATGCTCGCTGAAGAATAAATAAATGGATGAATGAATGCATTTCTCTTCACCATCATCAACAACAGCCACAGGAAGGGGACAGAACAGTCTGCTCTGGAGCCCAGAGACACCGAGACTTGGGAGGCAGAGGTGGAGTTGGTGCCCCCCACCAAGTCAGGCCAGAATTTCTTTCTCCAGACCCCAGAGCCATCTCTATGCCAAGCCTGGGTTGGGGGCTAGCAGAAGGTTAGAAGACCCAGCAGCATTAAGCTCCTTCCTTCCCTCCCTGGGCCTTAGTTGGGATAGGTGGGGAGGCAGGGTGGATTCTGTGTCAGTGGGGTGGCCCTCGGGGAACCCTAGAGGGAGACCCCATAGTGGGCTGAATGTTCCTGCCCCTAGTTCTTGGGGGGAGGAAGCTGCCTCTAAGACCCCATAGTGGGCTGAATGCTCCACCCCTGCCCCTAGTTCTTGGGGGGAGGAAGCTGCCTCTACAGTCCCTGGGCACCTACTCCAGCCCCCTCCCACTTCCCCCTCTTTCTCCCCTCAGAAGGAAGGCTTAGCCCAGGCCCGCGGGGAAAACCGCAATTTGCTCCTGACATGACACATTGACGGGTTTCTGGCGGCTATGCCCCCTTTGTGTCCCCAGAGCTGTTGCGGACATATAAGAGCCGCTGCTAGGCCTGAGAGGGTGGAGGAACCCACAGGAGGCCAGGAACCCCCACCCACCTTTGTGGAGCTGTAGGAGCAGGTAAGGCAGTCCCCGCCTTATCCAGGTCTTCACCCATTGACCCTGGAACCTTCTGCTGTCCTATCTGAATAATGGGCACAGATAGAGTTCACCCTAAGAGGGCACTGAGGGGGTACCTGGAGGGTAATGAGGGAAAAAAACCCAATTTACAGATGGGAAAACGGGGGCTCAGAGAGGGGCAAAAGCAGGGGTGGGTAGGCTGAGGACAGAATCATCCTATGGACAGGGCTAGAGTGGTATCTGTTTTACTATAAGCCACGGAAACCAAATGGGAATCTTTCCTTCTGTGACAGACCCTGGGGATACTGGAGCCACTTTAGGATGAGTTTTGGGGAAAGCAGACAGACACCGCCAAGACTGCTGCTGAGTCACACGGCACCCATATGCACCTTTGTGCAAATGAGGAAAAGGTGCCTTCTCTGGGCAGACACGGCCAGCACCACGGCACATTGTGGGCCAGTGAAGTAGGGTTGGATTTTCATCCCCTCTCACCCCCTCAGCAGGCATCCCCTCCAGTACATAACCATGTCAGAGGCTCCAGACACAGTCCCTGCCCTCTGGGAGCTTACAAGGCAAACAAAGACACAAACACAGTGCCTAATTGCAAATTGCGAAGCTCCATATCTGCAAATTGTGATAAGCATCTTCAAATAAATATTCTGGATGATGTTTAGTGACAGAAGGTCTTCTTTAGACAAGGTTAAGGAGAGAGGGCTTTCCAAAGAGATGACATTTATTCAGAACCTGAAGCATGAAGAGTCGGTCATGCAAAGAACCAGAGGAAGAACCTTCCTAACAGAAGAAATAGCCCGTGCAAAGGCCCTGAGGTGGGAAAAGGCTTGTCCTGTTTAAGACAGAGGCGGTCAAAGAGGCAGTCCGGATCCTAGTGGGTATTGGTAAGGAGCCTGGGTTCTATCTCCAGAGCAGTGGGGACTGGGGTTTAAGCACGGGTGATATGAGAGAGGATAGAGGGTATGTGATTGAGTGGGCAGATATGGAGCTTCGTAAAGAAAAATCCTACTCTATGAAACGGGTAATTAGCCATGCTCTTACCTCCCATCTCACTCCTTTCTTTAACTTCATTCAGGATGGAGTTGGAAGAGGAAGAAAGAAACAAGATATTTCAAGTCAGATGAACTAGGGCTCAAATTCTGGCCCTGTCACTGATTAGCTCTGTGACCTTGGTCAAGTCCCCTCCCCTCTCTTGGCCTAGTTTTCTCATCTCTGAAATGAAATCCCATGAGGGAGAGGCTTGGACAGTGCCCTGGAGACTATAGAGAGCAATGGAAATTGTACCATGCTGTGCATGTGTTAGCCACTGCTGGAATTGGGATGGAGAGGGTCTTCCTAGCAATGAAGCTGGACTTGAACTGGCTGGAGGGAGAGCTGCAGGCTGCTGATGGAGCACAGGGAAGGGAATGGCTTGGGCACGAGGAGTGTCTCAGACTTCCTGCTCGTGCCCCTGATAGGTGTACCGCTGATGATGCTGGGCGTGTGGTCTCTGCTTCTCCTCTGGAGTCTGGCAACTCCGTGCCAGGGGCTGCTGGAGACAGTGGGCACGCTTGCTCGGATTGACAAGGATGAACTTGGCAAAGGTGAGCCCATGGTGGGCAGTCTGTGAGGGGTCCTGCTGCAGTGTAAACATCCCCGTTGATATTCTTAGAGCATCTGCTTTCAGGAACAGATGAGAGAACAGGTTGTGAATCTCAACTGTTTGGAGAGTTACGGTGGTTAAAGGTTTGCTTGCAGGCTCCAGTGAATGATTAGTTCACTTCTGAGAGGCAGAGTGGGTGATATGGGCTTGGGTGGTGAGGGGCTGTGTCTGCCTCTGGGATGGGGACAGATAGGTTGGGGAAGTCGATGGGAGGGTGCTGGCTTGGCCAGTGTCTGATCCACATTTCTGGGGTTTGGGAACTCCACTTGGCATTTGATGCTCCAGGGCCCAAGGGCCTAGGGTGACAGTCTCATGGGTAGAGTAGATCAGTCATGAATAGAAAATGCTTCAGGAAGGACACCTCCACCTCCGATCTCCGTAAGGTAGTCCCTTTCCATCTCGCCCTTCTCACGGTCTGCACAGAATCATGCCGGGGTGCCCGGGAGGAGCAGAGGTCACCTCCTCCATTTGCTTCCTCCTTTGCTTCTGCCCTCCCTTTCAGTCCTAATCTGATTTGCTGTGTGACTTTGAGCAAGTCTCTGCCCCTCTATGAGCCCTAGTTTCCCCATCTGTAAAATGAACCTATCTTCTCCCACCCTCTCTGCAGCTATCCAGAACTCGCTGGTTGGGGGGCCCATCCTGCAGAATGTTCTGGGGACGGTCACAGCAGTGAACCAGGGCCTCCTGGGCTCCGGAGGTTTGCTCGGAGGAGGTGGCCTGCTGAGCTACGGTGGAGTGTTTGGTGTCGTTGAGGAGCTCTCTGGGTGAGTCCCCAAAGCGTGGCCCCTCAACTGCCCACCTGCTGTGTGCCCTACAGCAGCGGTCTCCAACCTTTTTGGCACCAGGGACTGGTGCTCCTATGAGAATCTAATGCCTGATGATCTGAGGTGGAGCTGAGGCAGTGATGCTGGCGCGGAGTTGTGGCTGCAAACACAGATGAAGCTTCTCTTGCTTGCCCTCTGCTCACCTCCTGCTGTGCTGCCTGGTTCCTAACAGGCCACAGATTGGTACTGGTCTGAGGCCCAGGGGTTGGGGACCCCTGACTTACAGGAAGACTGGTCTTTTCTTTAGTTCAGAGAATAGAAAAGAGATTGTCTGTCTTTAATTTGTTGGTAGGCAGTGGGAGTGAAGTGGTGAGCCCTGGGTAGGGAGTCTCAGGACCCAAGTCAGAAAATGAGTCTCCTGCATGACAAGCAAGACAGGAATGGCAGCATGCCCCTGTGGTTGAGGGTTCCAGCTCTGGAGTTGATCCCAGTTCTCACTATGTGACCAGGGCAAGTTGCCTAGTCTCTCTGGACCAATCCAGATGTCCGCATGCCTCCTTCCCTCCTCTCCTTCAGGTGATCTGCTCCAAAGAGCTCTGCCATGACCAGCCCCTCCTTGTCCCTTCCCCTCCTGCAAGTTCTCCAGGAAACTATCATTCCCCTGTACCTCATATATTTTACTGGTTTGTTTCTTGTCCCCCCTGCTAGATTATAAACCTAGAGGGGCTGGGACTTTTGTCCGATTTTACTACTATGTCCCTAGTATTCTAAATAGTGCTTGACACATAATAGATGCTCAAAAAAATTGTTTTGAGTGAATGAATGAAATTACATACTAGCTAATATGTATAATTTAATGACCACCTAGCCAGAGTTTTCTGTATGCCTGGTACTATGCTAAGAATTGTAAATAAATTATCGCATGGAATCCAGAGGTAGGATTATTATCAACTGCATTTAACAGATGAGGAGATGGAGGCCCTGGGCAGTGAAGGGACTTGCCCAAGCCCACCCAGCTAGGGATTAATGTTGGTGTGGGGGTCTAGGTGTTTCATCACAGGTCATACTGTCCTGGCAACAGCCCCACAAGTAAAGTGCTTGTCGTGCAGCCATTAAAAGCCAAATGATTCAAATCCTAGCTCCACCACTAACAGACTATGTGACCTGGGGCAAATCGCATTGCTGCCCCATGCCTGTTTCCTCATCTGTAAAGTAGAGATATTGACAATATCAACCACAGAGTGACACATAGTGATCCTTGCGCAACGTCAGTGTCAGCCCTTACCAGTTCCCTTCTTAGACATCAGTTTGCTGTTTTGGAAGGTGGGCATCTGTTCTCCCTTTTCCCCACAGCACTCCATTTCCTCCTGTGCATTGATTCTTCCCCATACCCTGGTTCTTGGCCTCCATCTTCAGTCTTGGAGCCTGTCATTTGACCTTCCCCTGATTTACCACCAGCCATGGACTGGTTGCCACCTGCAGACCATATTACATATTTTACAGATGGGGAAACAGGCATGGAGCAGAAATGTGATTTGCCCAAAGTCACACAGTCTGTTAGTGGTGAAGCCAGGACTTAAACCATTTAGCTTTTACTGGCTGCACTATGAGCAGTTACTCATGGGGTTGTTGCCAGGATAGTGAATTAATCTGTGTCAAGTAGCCAAAATAAAGGCTGGCACACACTAAATGCTCAATAAATGTGAACTATTATTATTAGTATTAATAGATCCAGTCCCCCTCCCACTGCCTGCTATAGAATCTGCCTGCTGAGGGAAGCCGTGGCCTCAGACATGAACCAGACATTGCCTTTGCCCCAAAGAGCCCCCAGTATGGGCAAAGCCCAACAGTGATGATCCTATAAGCTCAGGGCAGTGATGGAGGCAGCCCAGTGAGCACATGGGAGCTGTTCAGAGAAGGGCATTTACCTGAGTCAGAGAAGCAGGAAAGAGGGCTTTCTGGAGGAGAGGATGCCCTAGCTGAACCTGGGAGAGTCAAGAGGTGTCAGCTAGCTGAAGTCGAAAGGAGAGTCAAGGGAATGGTATTCCAGACAGAAGAAACAAACCAGGGCAAAGGCCCAGGGGGCAGAGAAAATAATGAACCGTGGAGATTGTGTTTGAGAACCCACTTGGGTTCTGTGTGTACGAGCCTGGGGAGTGGCTGTGGGGGGACAGTGATCCAGGCCAGTGACTGAACCAGGACTGAGGCCATGGGGAGAAGGTGGGGACAACACTCATTCATGGAGCTTCCAGTGGGAATGATGATACTACATTTATTGAGAACATGCTGTACCAGCTTCAGCAGTTACATGGTCTCATTTGTTTTGTGGCATTGCTATGAGGTAGGTACTAGTATTGCCCCATTTTACAGATAAAGAAACTGAGGCCCAGAGAAGGGAAGAAACTGGCCCACAGTTGATTTTATGGTTAGCAGTAGGATGGGGGATACACCCAAGAGAGGCCTAGGCCCCACCTGGTCTGGGTGGCCCAGGCACCAGAGGATGAAGCTGGGGGGTGTCTGGAAGTGAGGGGCCCTCCTCTGGACTCCCATCCCAGGCTGAAGATAGAGGAACTCACGCTGCCTAAGGTGACGCTGAAGCTGCTGCCTGGGTTTGGGGTGCAGCTGAACCTGCACACCAAAGTGGGCCTGCATGGCTCCGGGTGAGTGTGCCCCTGGGAACTTCTACCTTACTGCTCCCCACCCCACTGCCCCTTGGGGACCCCTACCCTATTGTCCCCCCACACCTACCCCATTGCCCCCTTATTTCCTCCAACCCTAGTTCTTCTCCAAGGAATTCCTACCCTACTGATCCCTTCCTCGATCCCATGCCACTATCCCTCCTCAGGAAATTCCATCTCATGCTCCTTGGAGACCACTACCCCATTGCTAGAGCTCACTGGAGGGGGTGGGGGAGGAGGGCGCAGGGATGTGCAAATGGGGGAACCGCAGGGAGGCAAGGAGTGAGAGGAGGGCATGGGGACTAGGCCATTTGCAGAGGCACCCAGCTCGCCCCTCATCAGGGCCCACGCGCCCCGCGATGGAGGTGACTAAGGCAGGCCCTGGTGGGTGGGGTCTGGCTTCCTGGCCACGCCCCCAGCGTGGCGTCTCGCAGCCCCCTTGGGGGTCTCCTGCAGCTGGCGGCTGAGGTGAACGTGTCGTCGCGGGTGGCGCTCGGCGTGAGCTCGCGGGGTACACCCATCCTCATCCTCAAGCGCTGCAGCACGCTCCTGGGCCACATCAGCCTGCTTTCGGGGTGAGTATCCCCGCGTAGCGATCTGCTCCGGCTCACCTCTGGCGCGTGCGCCGGCATCTACTGGCGCTCCCTCCCCTCCTCCCCTCCACTCCCCCTCTCCTCCAGCCTGAATTCCGGCCCATCCCGCCAGTTCAACGTGCTGCACAGACCAGCAAACCGAGACCTGCTCCGGACCGGGACTTCGGTCCAGCCCACAGTTTGCACCACCTACGCCTGGGTGTCCCCCTTCTCTGGCCCCTGAGATCCTGCCGTCCTCTTTCCCACATAGAGCAGGGATCTTCTGTGGTACTTGCTCTCAGGGTGTCAGAGAGCCAGCTCTGCCCCTAAATTTTTGTGTGACTCCAGGAGAACCTCCTCCTGTCTGGGCTTCAGTATCCCGTCTGTACAATGAGGACTTATATTTGATGACCCGGAAGGCTCTGGCACTTTCATATCTGTCTCTTCCCCTAGCTATTCGGGACACAGTGGCCCTCCTCCGATACACTCGTATCGAATCACCTCTCCAGTGGGACAACTGAAGCCCAAAGAGGGCAAGGGACGTCCCCAAGTTCAAACAGATTGAGGCAGGGATGGAGGTGGGCTGTTCTCTGAACCCAGGTCCAGGGCTTTTCCCAGCTCTCTGCACCCACCCTCGGGGGCTCCTACCTCCTCCCCTGCCTCAAGCTTTGTGTCTCCCCATTAGTTTCTACATTGCTGGCCAAATCTCCCCACCCCCTCTTTGCTGAGTGGCCCTGAGCAGTGATGGGTAATCTGGGTAATCAGGCAGCCCTTTGTTAGCCCCCAGGAGTAGGGTGGCCTAGCGTCGCTCCTGTCTTTAGAAGGGCCTTAATAAGGGGTAAGGGGATTCCAGGAAGGGTCTTTGAATGTCTCAAATCCCAGCATCTCCATCCTGCTCCTCGGGCTAGAGGGGGCCTTGGAGAGAGTGGATGGCCAACAAGATGGTGTCCTGTGGTTGTGGTTCTGTGGTTGTCACCCCTCCCTCTGGACCCCCAAAGTCTCCAAACAGACCTGAGCCCATCTACATATACTTCTCATCCGCAGACCACGCTGTCATTCATTCGTTCATTCATTCGTGCGGCAAATATTCATTCATTCGACAAATATTTATTGAACTCTCACTCAAAGCCAGGTGCTATTCTAGGCCCAAATGTCACCCGTCTACAAATGTTGGAGGAGATGAAGGGAACAGATACTTATCGAGCACAGATTGTCTACCTGACACGTCTTCGCTCCCATTTAGTCTCAGCAGCAACAACTCTGTAAGGCAGGCACCATACAGATCGGAAAACTGAAATCCTTCCCTGGGCCCCACGGTGAGGCAGAGCCAAGATTTAAACCCAGTCTGCAAAGCCCCAGCCAGCGCCACAGAGAACAGAGGCAGAAGATATCCAGAGGCACCAGTGCCCACCCTGCCTGTCACCTAGGTTGGCACTGTCCCTAGGTGGTGGCCACACCCTCACCCTTCTCACTCTGCCCAGGCTGCTGCCCGCTCCGCTCTTTGGGGTCGTGGAACAGACACTCTTCAAGGTGCTGCCGGGACTGGTGAGTGGCAGGGGCGGGGG